CCGCCCTGCCACCCCCTGAGGCCTCCCCGCCACTCTCCCGCTATGGCCCGGGGGGCCGGTGAGGCGGCCGCGGAGGGGGAGCTGGTAAGGAGGGGGCGGCGGGGAGGAGGAGAAGGAGGTGGAGGTGGAGGAAGTCCCGCGCTTGCCTCAGTCCGGGCAACGCTTCCGTCAGCCCGTGGGGCTGGGGCAAACCCTGAAGCCCCGTCAGGCTCTCCAGGCCGGCGAGGCGGTAGCTAGGAGGGGGAGGAGGACGGCTTCGTCCGTCTCCAGCCCGCGGGGCTCTGGGTTCTGCTTGTATCTCCTTGGCTGGCCGGTAGCACGGCGGGGGGAGCGGTCAGTGTTCGTTTCCCTGCCCCTTAGCAGCCACATAGGGAGATTTTGAGGCCCTTTGTTGGGAGCCACCATGTTCTCTTGTTGTCTGTTGTAGGTGGCTCTTGTCGGACCTGTTTAGCAAGAGCAAAGGGACTGTGAATGTTTCCAAGAGCTTCAATGTTTTTGTTACTGCGCGATTGTATCTTGGTGTTTGCTGCCACCTATCAAGGCTGGGTGCCTTCCACATTCTCCAATTTCTAATGTGATAGCTACACTTAGGTAAAGAGATCTCCTAGAGTGATAAAAAGGCCTTAAAACAGCAAAAATAATCAATGTGCTGCAAGGAACATTGTCTCAGGAAATTAAAAACTATATGGCATGGTGTGAGATGGATACCTGCTTGCTCTCGGCCAGCCATGAAAAGCTGTTTTATCTGCTCTGTTGTCTATCCCAGCTCCTATTCTGTCAACCAGGCTTCCCAAAAATACTTCATCCTACCTGTCTTTTATATTGAGACAGATCAACATCTGTCCAGAGAATGGTGCTGCAACTGAGCCCCATGGAGTCGTCAGAAAGTAAAAATGTTCTTTCTGCAAGGGCACCATACATTCAGATAATTTGAAACCAGAGTGGAAATTTTCCTTCTGCTGTGGATATGCTTACATTTGAGAAGCAGGGAAAGTTGTCAGCTCTATCTGAGGAAAAATTAACCACTTTTTTGATTCCTTTGGGTTTTTTTCCTCATTCTGATTGCTTCCTCAGTCAAGTTTACTGAATGTTCCCATAGCATAGCAAGGGTAGGAATAAGTGAGTGAGGAAGGGGCCAGAGAGATGAGTTGCTGCCTAACTCTGGTGGAGAAATTAATGCAGAACAGCACCATGGAAGATGGGGCACCTGAAGGTTCAGCTGTTACAGTGCTGCGCATAAATCACTGTGGCTCAAGTCTGAGGTGACTTGCACTGTATCACACAGAACGTCTGTGTTAGAGCAAATTATGCAGTTTTTTGCAGCAGTGACACATTTACTATTTGAATTTATTGCACTCAAACTTTGTTGTGATAGTAAAAGGAGACAGAGTTTTCTAGACCAATTATTTAGTAGCAGATGTCACAATTAATGTCTCTATTTCCCAGGGAGATGACAGCCTGTCTGTGATAACCTGTGAATCAGATACAGAAATGGTGAGTTTTATTAATGGTGCACTGTGGGTAAATGCCTTAAAAGGCCTCTTAACATGCTCTTGTACACTCTGCATCCATGTGATACCTCCTGGTCGATAAAACACCCTTCAGAAAGGAGAGCTAACAATGTTATTGCAATGTAGTTTGATTCAAAAACCTCCTCTAATTCCAGATGTTATTTTGGCTTCTAAATTCTCAGTGCTGGGGGCTGCAAATGATGTTTGGCTTCATTTTACTGTTCTATCAAGTTACAGGCCTAAGTAATCCTTTTACAAAGCTTTAGTAGAATTGAATCTCTTTCCTTTAGCTAAATAGTTATACAGATCAGCCTCTACTCTGATCACCTTGAATTTGCTGCTACTTGTATTTAATACTGATGGGGAAGGTCTTAGTGTTGTGAGCATGAATTGACTATATTTATCTGTAGCATAAAACTTCAGTAGGCATCACCCGAATTCTGATGACCATTGCTGTGGCCAAATCTGCATATACTTAATGCTGCTATTTTTCTTTTCTATACAGAAGATTTTGTGTTATTAGAATAAATGATCTTCATACAAAATGGAGATTGAAGCCAGTTTTGAGATTATAAACTGGAATCTTTGCAGAGTGGAATATTTTAAATACATAGAAAGTTCTTTTTCTCTTCCAGAAGTTAAAGAAGAAAATTTTTCACAAGCCTCCGAAGTCACCAAGTAAGTGTTCCAAAATTTTTTCTTCTGCTTCCATTGCTGCAGAACTAGATAGATTTGTAGAACACAGGAACTGGAAGATTTACTTGACACAACATCTTATTATTCTCTTTAGAATTATTCACTGGTGTGCGCAGAGCACACCTATCTGAGATTTGTTCTGCCACCTGCAAAGTTAGACTTTTATAGGCTAAATATTGAAGTTTACGGGATAGTTGTAATTCTTGATTCTCCAGCATAAGCTACTTTCTTCTTACATTATCCCTTCTGATGGCAAGCATTCTGAATTTCTTTTTTCTTTGGTTTTTTTTTTGAGAAATGCTGATATTTGCTGTGTGGAAAGAATCTAGAGTTACTGGAGCTACCTACCATCCAGTAGATACCTATGTTTGTAGATTAAACAGTTCTTGGTTTCATTTGTTGGTGTGTTGATTTTTTTTTCACATGACCTTAGAAGTACATTATTAGATCTGCAGTTTTAATGTAGACTTTTGTCCTTTTTTCTGGACATGTTTTTTTAAAAGTATGGTTTTTACTATACTTTTCCATTTACATTCCTTTTTATACTTCTAATGAATGTTTCAAAGAAACTAACTCAAAGTGTTGCTGTTTGTTGTTAATTTATTAAAAACAAACCAGAGTAAATAATGCACTTCTAAATTTTGCTTTAGGTTGAGGAAGAGGCATGCTTTTCTGGTAGATGTGCATCTATGTTCTTTCTTTTCCTGAAATTCCTTTGCTTGCCTAAATGATGGCATTTAAAATAGCTGGTTTAATTTTAGCTATGAGGTTTGTGACATTGATTCTTAATACATGTACTTCTCTTGATAACTTGAAGATTTAACTAGTTAGCCCATATAGGGCACATCTGTACTAATAATGTGAAGTGGAATTAACTAATTAACTAATTAAATGAAGTGGAAAAAACTAATAATGTGAAGGTGTCAATATTTGAACCTGACCATCATACCTGAAGTAGTAATGCGAGGGACTCCCCAGCAGTTGCATCAGACCCATTCTGTTCTTCCATTACAGCAAGAAAATTGCTAGTGGGTTAGTAGCTATAGTTACTTCTGTCCATTTAGCCATAATATTTTTCTCACTGTTAGGACATTTGTGTATACATCCATTGAAAGGTAAATTTAATGTATGAATTTAGACATGTGAGTATCTTAAGGGTGCCTATCCAAACTGTAAATATTTCTACATGCATTGAATCATATTACTGTCATTATGCCTCTTTTTAAGCCTCTTCGGGTTTTGGAATTGAATTTTTTCTTTATCATGGTTTTTTTTGGTTTTCTTAGGTGAATATCCCATTGCTCTTTAGAAAACAGTATGTAGTATGCTGTTTAATTCCGTTTTTATAAGTAATGGAACTGTGTCTGGGAACCTTGAAGCACAGGACAGAAATAATTTTTGTAACCTTAAGCTTTTTAAGGCAACACTGCGATACTTTCTTTTGTTATAGAGTCTCCATACAGCTCTAGCACACAACTGTATCCTAAAAAAGCTGCAGTTTGGCGATCTCTGCAGGGAACAGGCAGTGCACGTCTTGAGAATGGAACTGTAAAAAACCCAAGGCAGATGTGGCTGGGATCACTGAAACAAGGTATTAATATAAAAACTTTATCTGCGTATATGGATAAAGTTCAGTGTTGTGGACAACTTAACATACAAACTCTTGAAAAATAGATTTGTATTTGATTATAGGCTACATAGGAAGTAATTTCACTATTATTTATTTGGGTGGTTGGAATTATCTGATCTTGAGAATTTGTAGAGGGAATAATTAACATCATCTGGAGCTTTCTATGTTGCATTTGGTCAGAATAAATCCATAAATCTAATTCAATTATCCATGATTTTTGCTTATTTTTGGTCCCATTTTTGTTGGCAGGAATGAGCCATCCTCTGAAATCAGATGTTGACATGGGGCATATGCAGACTAACATTTCTAGTAGCACTCCAGAATATTTGAAGGAAGCTCTAGGAATGAAGAAGCCAAAACATTCTCGTTCTTCTAGTAATGGTAAACTATGTAATGGTGTGGTAGATAGAAGTTAATTATCTTTTTCCTGTGTAAAAATGCACATTGCTTAAGATCTTTCCTCTAAGGCATATAATGCCTCTAAAGCAGAGGCATTTCAGTTCAGCCTGCATTAAAATGTGTCAAAATATGATCCATGAGATACTTCTTGAGATTTTTAAATTGGTTAAGATGGGGGTTTCCAAATTTTTTTGAGCAATGAGTCACTATTAGCTTTCAGAACTTTTTGCAAATTGCCATGCATTTGCAGCTGAAAATGTTGCAAATATAATATGGTTCAATGGGCCAGCTGTAGACAATTTATTGTGACTTTGCAAAACATAGTTTAGGAACCATTGATAGAAACCATCTGCTTGCCTGAAATTCTATGTAATTGACTCCTTTTACTTCTTCTCTAGACAGTGTTTTATCATGTGGTTGTGATATTAAAATCAATTGAGTTTTATAAGAAGAGCAAAATTTAAAACTTTTATCCTGCTTTTCTTAAAGGAGAGCTGTAAACTTAAAAATCCCATTTCTATTTAAAATGACATCTGTACTGTTACTGGTAATACACTGTTTCTGGCAGTTTTAAAAGATGATAGACTTTTACATGTTAGGCAAAAATAGAAAAATGTATTCTGGACATGTAGAAATCTTTTATAAATAACTGATTTGTTGGGATAAGAAGACTGCAGTCTTCTGTGAAGTGTATATTTTTCTTGAGATGGGTATTTTAATCTAGTACCAGAGAGAAGACAAGTAATTAGAATTACTTGGTTCATTAATGGTTAGTTAAAAATAACTCTTTCAGATCTGCTTATTTTACATACTTCTTTTCTGTAGGCTACATCCCTGGAACTCCTGACTACAAAGAAAAAGAAGATATGTACGATGAAATTATAGAACTAAAAAAGGTACAGTCTCTCTGATACTTACTTAGAGAGTCATAGCATCACTTCATCCACTGGTAGATGTCTGGGCCTTATTGGTTCAGAATACTTTGGTTTCTACAGCTGGAACATCCACCAATTTATTTTTTTGGCATTTGTAATGTAAGGCTAAACTAAACTTGTGTCTGTTTAAGGCAATTTAATTGTTCTTATGGTATGATAGATACTTCTGAGTACTGGATGTGGAAGCCTTGAAGTAAACCCAGTCCTGAACCCCAGCCATGGCCCTAGCTGGACACTGAAAAGGTTGATTGCATTTGGTTTCTTTGTCCCTCCACTTTTTTTTTTTTTTTTTTTTTTTTTCTTTCCCTCTTCTGGCTGTCACCCATCAACATTTTAACACTTTGTCAGTTGAGTTTAGTGCAGTGTATGAAAGATGAGGACTGGGCATGTTGAACACTAGGGATACCTGTAAACAGATATCTTGGCTGTTGTAGATCATTTGTGTAAAGTTGACTTTCTGTTAAACCTTTTAAGTTTGCCCTGTCACTTCCCTTATCTCCCAGCCCTGGTCTCCTGTGTGATGGTCTCTTTTTTTTCTTTTTCTTTTGCTTCATCATCCTGATCATCATAATTGGATTGTTATTGACATCAGAACGTGTTCCATGTGAAAACTCAATGTGTGTCTATTTCTGAAATGTGCATATGATTTTTCTCCCCTCTCTTAGACAATACAAGCTCAGAAAAGTGAGGGAGATCGAATGAAGACTAAGCTCCGTCGACTAGAAGAAGAGAACAATAGAAAGGATAAACAGATTGAACAACTGTTGGATCCTTCCAGGGTGACTGTTTCTTGGGGAGATAAAAGTGGGGCAAAAGAGTGCTGAGAAGTGTGATTCTCTTCTTGTGTCTCTAGATTTCAGGAGTCTGTAGTGTGTTGGCTTCTCAGAACAATGAGCTTGAATATGAGAGGGGGTTGGTTGGTGTGAAGGGATTTCTGTTTTGTGTATCTCAGTTTACCAGTTCAGTTCAAAGGAAGATCATGCTATGCTGTGCAGATAAGTTTATTTTGCAAAGATACTTTAAATTTCTGAAGGTAAAATTAAAATGTTCTCTTTTTAGAGGCCCACTTCCTGATTATTTTGCCTGAGACTAGAAGGGAGTTAACCTCTTGCATGGTGACTGATGCATGTGGTCCTGAGACCTGGACCTGAGAATCAAAAGATGAGCCTTATTATCAGACCCACAAGGCCAAGAAACATTTAGGGTCATAGGTAGAAGACCTGAATTTCATTTTATTCCCTGTGGCTGTCACTCTCTGTGTGCAGACTTGTATCTTGGGAGAAGTCTGCTAATATAAAACAATGAGCATAGGGACTTCATAGCTTAAGCTGTTGGGCTGTGAAATGACTGTCGAGATGAGTACGTTAGAAAATTCTGTGGAAAGAGCTGGCTGGCAGTAGAATAAAGTAGCAAGGTTGCTCACTCGCTTTATCTTACCTTGCAGGGCTCCGAGTTGGCACGAGCTTTGTCAGTAAAGAAGACCAATAATGGATGGGTAATAGTGTCTTCATTACCTTTTTCATTTTTTCCTCTTACCAAGCTGAAAGACTACTGATTTAAAAAAAAAAAAAGAAATAAGAAAAAAAAACCAAGCAATTGGGGAACTAGGTAATCATTATTTCTGTAGGCAGATAAGAAACCAGTAACAAAGATCTGGAAGTACCATCATTTTAGGGAGCCTCTTTGTCATTGTCTTGAATCTGTTTGGGGAGCATTCTCCCTATTATTTGCTGCTTTGAATTTAGCAGGGTAATGAGCAGAGTTGGTTTTATTTAACGATTGTGTGTAAATATTATTGTTGGTTATGTTACCACAGATATAAGTTAGGGATCTGATTTAACTACTGTTCTCTTTGTTCTGGGGTAGCAGACATGCATGTGGTTTACTAAGTAATGAAGTAGGTAGGAATAACTATATCTGGTTAGGTATAATTTATAAAGACAGGACAAGATTGGGGAGAAATAAAACTTCTGTGAAGAGACAGATAATTCTAGGACTCATGAGGTCTTTGTTCTTTTTGTAGGTGGTTAGTGGATTGAAGCAGAAGATTTTCAAGCTAGAACAAGAGTGCGAGGAGAAAGACAACACTATTAAGTATGACTTTGGGGGGACAGAGGCTTGTTTTGAATGAGAGAATAAAGTGAATTTGAAATCGATGTTATTTTTCATCTGTATTCTTGTGTTCCTTAAGACATTTTCATGAATTCTGAGAACATATTAGCAATTACAAACTACACACCCAGAAATTGTAAACCAACAAGTATTGCAGCATATTTGCTGATCTGACTAGATTTTTTTTTTTTTAATTTTATTTTCAGCAAATTCCAGGCAGACATGAAGACCACTAATTTGGAAGAAATGAGGATAGCTATGGAAACCTACTATGAAGAGGTACATCTGACAGGTCCTTCAGTGTGCATACAGGAGAGGAAGTTGTTCAGTTGTTGAGTCGAAATATAAATGGAATGTTTTAGATAGGTTTCTTACAGCTTTGCTGCACCTGTCATTGGAATCAGATTTTCATAGATGTTCTTATAGCTCCAACTATATGTACTGAAAAACCTTTTTTCTTCAGTAAGTTCAGCGTGTCAACCAAAAAGGGGAAATAAAGAAACTAATGTGCAACCATAAGTAGTGTCTAGATGAAAGGCAATATAACAGTAGCCTGATTTTCAGTGATGGCATCATTGCCTCTATTAGCACCCAAAAAGTCTTGTTCTGATTTTCACCTAATGGACAAATGTGTTGCATTAGCAATGTCAGCTTCCAAGATAGCTCCTTAATGGAATCTGTATTTCATATTTCACAGGTTCATCGTCTCCAACTCCTCCTGGCAAAATCTGAGACTATGAGGAAAAAGTATGTTTAATTCTTTTGAAGCAAATGCTTGCATATACGTGTTTGATATATCACTCATGTACTACTTTAAGTGATGGAAAACATCTACATGGGAAGTTTATTTTGTCATTTAGATTGCTGGATTTGCTTTTTGGTACTGCTTTGGTTGGCTTCACAGCCTTGGTATATGTCTTAGTCATCTTTGGGTTTTTTGTAGATAGACCATTTTGTGGATGTGGAAAAAATACTAGAGCTATTTAAAAAGTACATGAAAGCTTTGAAAATGTATCTATTAAATAAAATCCATCTTCCCCCGTAATCACACCTATTCTGACGTCACTGGTGACTGAAACGAACTCTAGATGTTTGGCATCTTACTCTTGAGTCAGTTCTGCATCTTGCTCTAGGGTGTATGCTACAAAGAAGGTATTCTGCAGTAAACATTGTTATCCTGTGGTACAGAGACAGATCCGCAGGTCAGGGTAGCTTTTCTGAGATAGCCATGAGTGACACTAGTAAGATGCTGTCAGAGAAGCTCGTACTACTGCTTGTCACTAGTGTGTGGGTGTATACATACGTGGTGGTGAGGATAAACGGTCTGTAGAGGAAATAAAAATCAAAGCACGAAGGCAAAAGACAAAGCTCCAGTAAGAGAGCAAATTAAAAGCATCTATGCAAGTGAGTGTTATTTGAGCTGAGAAGAGAGAGTAATAGTCTTGTGTGACAGGAAAATTGGTTACCACACCACTTCAAAATATACTTGCCCTCCTAGTGTTAAGTACAGGCAACTGTCTTAATTTGGACTGTAATTATTTAGATTGATAGAAACATATGAGAACTCTTTATGGGTCATTATGTATACTACTTGTGTTTCCCTAATTCACTGTCTCTTGTGGACTGAAAACTGCAATTTGTTTTGTCACTGTTTAAAATAAACTCCAACAAATCTCTTTTGGCTCAGGCATGCAGTGACTATCCTCTTGAGGCTGTAAGCCATCACACTGAATTTATTTACAGGTAAAAATGAGTCATCAGGTCTCTTTCTTGTCCTCATTTATTCATAGCTTCAGAAAACAGTAGTCAGGGCACTCTCTCTCCATTACGTGACTGTCAGTCTCTACTTGAGTGGCTGAGCACTGTAATAATAAATGATGCTGAAGGTCAGGACTCTGGCACATAGGAAGCATTGTAGGAGAGTGTGTCTTTCATGATGCTTGTCTACATTATTTCAAGCTAAATTGAATGGCATTTTGCTCCTCTTTTTCAGTGTTAATGCTGAAATATGATTATTTAAATGGGAAACTGCAGTACTGAATTGTAGCTAGAAACTAGGCAACCTTTCAAGTCTTCAAAATGGTCTGCAATTCTTTGATTTAGGTTTTGGTGAGCCTAAAATAATGGCACTGATACGGTTATGATTTCTATAATTTCTGTCACTGCACCTTTTTGGTGGTGTGGTGTGATTTGTTTTTACTTTTTTTTTTTTTTTTCTTCCTGCCTGGGACAGCTGTATTAATAGTCAGCCAGGACAACTGGAAAGCCTTTTGTGTTTTTTGTGGTTTAATTTCCTTTTAATTTCTAAAAGGTAGATTAGATTCAGCTTTTTACTGTGATATGCTAATTGTAGTCTGTTTCCCCCTTTACCTTGTAATTTGTGGATGGGATGCAAGATTCCTTCACAAACTGTTCTGTGACTGTCCAAAAGTAGGTCCATCATTTGCTTCAGACCTTCATTTCCAGGAGTAAGTTTTTAAGAATTTTCTCATAGCAATAAAGAACAAGTATTTCATGTCATTTAGAAATATGTTTTGTGATCAAACTTTACAATTTTTTATATCTAGAAGCTGAGATTTCTTCTTCCCTTTATTAGAAAAATTAAAAAGGCCAAATCACTGTAATATATTTAAAACAGTTTTAACACATAGTAGGCTTTCCCTTTTCTGATGCCTTTTATACCCATCACATTGATGTTAGCTGTATTCTTCAAATCTGTTTCAAGTCTCTCATTGATTGAAATGTAGCTTTTAAATGAAGACATTTCTCTGGGGTTTACTTTCACAGGAATAGTTTATTTTATGTTCAAGCAGCATTCACAGTTATCTGAAAATACACTTGTGTGTTGGATTTGTTTGAGAGTTAGTCCATCTATGTATAGGCCTCTCTCAGTCTCAATCTGTTTGTTAAGTGAAAGAAAGCAATTCAGAGCATGCAGGTTAGCTTTCTGTGCTGAACAGTTTTTTGGAGGAGTCTCCCAATTGGCTGAAGATAAGTGTTTTTAAATCAGTGGTCCACAGAGTGCTGGCAATGCATTATAAGGTTGGTTAACAAAACAAATAGAAAACAAAATAAGTAAAACTCATACAAGCACCCTTGTTTTAGCGTTAATGAAACAGAGTGGGGGAGGAAGTAAAAGTAATAAGTGAACTTTCAACGTTTCAAAGTATCTTCCTTCTTTGATGCAAATTAAAACAATTGTGAATGCATTGAAAAAGATGTTTTTTGCAAAAAGAAGAGGTAAATCCTCAAGTAAAAAATGTTGATAAATACTACTGGGGGGAGCCGGAGAGAGTTAACATAGCCAGCTGACTTGAATATTGAATAATGAGGCTGTTCCACTCTTTTTTTTTTTCTTTTTCTTTTTTTTTTTTTCTTTAATGCTCCTTCTTTGTTCTCTGCTTTTAAGTTAACTTTCTGGTTTTGACCCCATTTCCAAGTACAGAGGGCAGAGATACACAGAAACGACTAAAGGCACTAAATGCTGCTGTCCTGAGGTTATCCAGGAACATCAAGGAATTGCAGAATGAGAATCGGAGACTGAAAGAAGATCTAGGTCATGTGCTAAGCAGTTCTCCTCCTTCCAATAAAGCAAAAAGTACGTGCTGAAAAGTTGGTCAACATGGGGCAAGGGATTTAGGTACATTTGAAAGATGTGTTTAAGAGCAGAACTCTACAATGGTAGAAATCAAGGAATTATTACAAAGGTGAAGATTCAGGAGGAGCAAAGGTTGGAATGAAAAGTTTCTCACAGAATTCTCTCTCTGACGTCTGGCTGTGCTGCTCTAGTCAGACCTGGGTTTCCTTTGTTATCCCTGAGAATTCTGAACTGGAATCACTTGAGTATTAATGTTTCATTGGAAAACTGTTTTTCTATTGTTGAAAACTGATGAATGTGAATGGTTTACTTTGATTTCTGAGCTAATTGGTATAGAAGTTATATTTTAAGACCATTCTCATTTCTTTTCATTGCTGCATATTTAAATCTGGGGTTCGGTAGTCTTTAGATGGTCTTTCTGTATGGACAGAAGTTTCAAAAAGCTGGAACAGTGTTGAATCACAGGTATAGTTTCATGTTTAAATCTTTGTTATTGTATTTAGATTATAGTGAATGGAGCAGACAGAGGCTGGTGAGACGGATTTCGGAACTAGAAAAAGTGAGTGATCATAATCATGTGGCTGTCTTACCTGTCTTTGAGCAGAAAATGCAGAACCACTGGCTTGTGCTTGTGGCATATAGTCAGTGAATCAGCCTTGTGCATTCTGGCTCATGTGTAAACTGATGTCTCTACTATGTGCCCTTCCATTTTTCCTTTCTCGTACTTGTTACATATAGATGTGCATTTTAGAATTAACTTCCATTTGATCTTTTCTCATGACCTAAATAAAATCATTTTAAGCTAAATTTATTTTTCTTCTGTTTTCTTTTGTATTTTTTTAATGTAAATGTATCCTGTTTAGAAAGTATGTGCCATGGAGAACAGCAGGGTGTCATCAGCAGATAGTGAGTCATCACAGTTACTTGCTGTGCCATCTTCGCCTTCTGTAGTCCCAGATCATCCAGCCTCTCAACAGGTAGACCATGTTGAGGAATGTCTTCGCCTCCAAGGGCTAGTGAAGAAACTGCAGAGGGATAAGAAGACACTTCAGAATCTCCTACTCAATAAAGAGTAAGTGCGACTCTTGTCTGAGATATTGTTCTTCTGTAGGTATGAATTATTTAATTATACCCTGTCACATTATGAAACGATGTAATAAGTCCTTCATATTTTCAGCAAGAAAACAAATGTTGAGGGTCCCTTCATCTTTTATTTCAAAAGCTTCTTCTAGTCCTACTAGTGTTGTAAAATTACATTGCAGGAAAAAAAAAAGTCAGCGAGAAGATGGAAAATGAGAATTTCTGCTTCTTTCTAACACATTTTTCAAGGCATGCTTTTTTGCCAACCACACTGAAAAAAGCCTCCAAAGGGTTATATGTCACTTCAAGCAGCACCTCTTGCAAGTATTTTGCTGTAAAAATTTGTCTTGTTTTTTCCACATGTTTTGTCCTGATCTACCACTTTCTCCATTTAAGCCTACCTTCTGCCGTATGATATGCTGCGTCTTCTTTTCTCCCCAGTAAGCAATTGATTTGCAATTTGTGTTTCTTGAACTCGTTTGGTGTGTTGGTGCATAGGGTCAGGCAGGTTAATCTGATCATAAGCAGAGATGTGCACACAACTATGTATTGTTGATAAGACACTCTGCCTTCTGTGTCAACTCGCCTCTGAACAACAATGCACAGTGAGAGCATGTGAGGAGGCCGTTTACTTCTGAACAGTGTATGCTTGCATTTACAGACTTGATAAAACCTATTTTATTTAGAAGTTTAAACAAAAAATAACTACTTTGTTGAAGTATGCATGTCTTAAGTATTGCTTAGATTCCTTTATACCTTTGTAGATTAGATATCAAGCAATTACTACAGGCTAAAGCTGAAGTGGAGCTGGAGCTGCAGAAGTGGCAGAATAAGATGGAAGAAAAGACTACAGAAGAGCAGGCTTTGAGGTATCATATTTTGTATTAATAGATCCTTTCAGAACCAAAAATATACCTGTTAAAGTATAATTTTCTTTTGAAATGACTCAAAATCCATAGGAGTTCATCTGAACTGCTGGAAGATGAAAGTTTATTTAAACAGAACTGTTTTGGAGGGGTGGAGTAAGTTACTAGGGGAAGAATTCTACAGAGTAGTTTTAGAGGAAGTGGAAGACTAGCAAGTATAGTAAAAATAAAAATTCTAATAAAAATTACTAAGATTAATGGAAAAAGAGAGCTGCCATGTTGGGCTCAGAGACCTTTTATTCTCTTTCTAAGAAAAAAAACTGTAGTATCTTTACTTTAGCCTGTGCTTCTATACCATTGCCAATATGTCATTACATTTAGTTCATGTATTGTGTGTAACTGTTGACAATAATCCTGTGCAAGGGTGGCAAAAAAATTCTTTCATTATTGCTTTGTTAAAAAGGACTTTGACAAACAAATATGAAACTGTAGCAGATCTAGATGCAATATTAATAGTATCAAGGGTACTGTTGTAACCTTGGGACTTTTTAATTTTAACATAAGGCTGTGCTATCACAACTTGGGAACGGATGTTACATGTCTGTTACTATAAGAATATGTATCATGTTATTCTGGGCAGTTTCCCACTTTGGCCTTTAAAAAAAACCTAAAGCAACCAAATCTTATGAAATGGGTTCGGTATTTTCAAAGCAGGAACAAAAGAAGATTTCTAGATATAAATATCTTTGCTTTTCCAACCATAGTGAGGAAATCCAGAACCTGACACAGAAAGTAGGGAAATTGGAATCAAAATTGGAAGAAGAGAAGAGGCAAATGGTGGAAGATACAACGGAAAAGCTTAATAAGGTACAGACACATGTTTTTGTTTATGGATTTTTTTTTTCCCCTTGCATCTAACTAATACTTTGCAAATTTAGCTGATAGTCTAAATAACTGCTAGTTGTGTCTTTTCAGAGAGGCATTAAATCTTGTCATAGAGATTCTGAATTAATTCCCAAAACTTGTTGGTAAGTTGTTTCAATAACTACCACTGCAACTTGGGGTTTTTTTGGAGCTGTTAGTGATTATTTGCCCCACCACACTTTTTCTTACTTAGTAGAATGTTGCAAAAAGCTTACACTTCTAAATGTTAGAAGTTTTTTTACTTTACTTTCTAACAAAAAAAAAGACAGTTGTGCTTTTGCTTATATCTTCTTAAAACATCTGAATTCTGTTAACTAATTTCAGTCCAATTTTGTAGAGAGAGGGAGGTCTTCTAGGAGATGACAGTTAAGTAAAGGATAGACACAGGTAAGTGTGCTCACTGGCAGAGTGGCAAAAGACAAAAACCCCATTTCAGTTATTTTTATGCTGGTCAGGTAATCACTTAGGGCATGTGTGCTGTCCAGTCAGAAAATATTCATTATCCTTTCTGTTTGGATGAAAGCTGGGTACTTTTTCATGGGAAGGTTTACAGGATGTAGAACATTAATCATCATGAAAATGGAGGGGCTTTTTCAATTCCACTGCTGGTGGGACACCATATTTGAGTAAAGAATTAGGGAAAGTGTCAATAAAATAAAATAAACCCTTATCCCCTTTGAATTTAAGTTTTTCTAGAGTTGAGGTATTCATAGCCTCCTCTTTCTCAATTTGTCGGTATCTAATAAATGTATTTGTATGTCTGTTAACCCTAGACAGCCTTAAATGGGGCTCTGTAATCAGCCGGGGGGGTGGTGTGGTGTGTGTGTGTGAAATATGACTGAAGTTGATATCTTTGCAATCTTCTGTCCCTCTGCCAAATGTTATTGTAACTGGCCAGTAGAGATGAATGGGCACCGACAGACATGCTTTCAGATGCAGTGTGGTCATATTAATCTCATTTCACTAAAAACTAGTTGAAAATTATACTGGAGATTTTGATAGTTTGTACTTGAAAATAAATAGACCCTGAAATACAGGTAATAAAAAATATGAATAAAAACATCCACTAGCTTAAGAGGGTTCTGGTTTTTGATATACTGTGCAATTCTTTCAATTCTTTTTTGTGTGTTATAGGCTGATGGATGCTAGCTGATGTTTTGAATACCAAGTAACTTGGAGTCTTTAAAAACAGCCAACAAACAGCTTCTTTTTTCCTCTGCAGACTATATATATTCTTGGCCAGTAACCATCCATTTATTGAAATGTTCCCATTATTTGTAATTATCACTAAGTTCCTACCAATTTTTCATTTTAATAGTAGGTTGTCATTTTTAATATGACATGATCCATTTGCTAAACTTAAGCCTGTAACTCAGCATTTTTAGGTTATAAATAAATCCTTTTCACAGAATCAGGAGGTTTTTTTCAGAGTCTATAAAATCTCTTGTTCCTCTACTTAGAATTTTACACCAACAAATTAAATTAGTCTTTTTAAATTGCAGTTAACTTTCGTTTGGCAAGTGAGGTATGACAGTTAGTATGGGATAATTAAGGATCAAAAGGATCAGATGGTGAGAGGTGGAATATGCAACCACACCTCAGAAGAAATAACTGGAATAAAATCTTGTTTTATTCTTGGTTTCCTTCTTTTTCCTCTAATTAATTTCTTCAAGATAGAAGAGTAGAGTTATGCCAATTTACACAAGCTCTCCATCTTGTCATATGATGGCCAATTCATCAGTAAGCTTAAACGGATGATTATGGGGCCACAGTTGCCAGAATGCGACATGAAAGAGCTCCCCAATTAATTAATACTAGACTTTCCTGGAGAAGAATTGCAAAATTAGGTATCCTGACATTTGTTCTCAGTCTGTCAATAACATACAAACCATTTCTGATCAACAAAGCAGTGGGTTCCACTGTTGGAGCTCCTATTGCCTTAGCAATGCATAGAAAAGTAAGAGTATGTGTAAATGAAAACCCTTCCATTCCCATGCTCTGCTAGCACCTCAAATGAGGGCAGGAATGTGTAGCATCTGTATGATGAGTTAAAACATGAGCAGTATTCAGAACTAAGAGTTCCCTCCTTAACTTCTTCCACTCTGCAGGCAGGATGAATGTTTAACAACTCTGGTGCTGATGTCTGAGTCATTTGTAACGTGTCTTCCTCATAGAATTCCAACTTGTGTCTTTAGTGTACTGAGTTAAAGATTCTCCTTTGCAGTCTTCACCAGTCTGCATGGTTAAAGACAAAGAAGATCACAGGAAGGAACAAGCAGCCAAAATCATCCAGAGACAGTGGAAGATGTACCGAAACAAGGTGAGATTCTCCTATCAGGGAACAGTGAGGACATCTCCCTCTGGATCTTACTCTTGTTTTAGCATCTACAGTAACCTGCTGCAGGGCTCCAGGAACTGCAGCAGTGCTTCCCAGTATGATTCCCTACTGCCATCTTCTCTTCCACTGCTTTTTTTCAGGTCGTCCCTGCTGCTGCTTTTGCCTTTGCTCCCTAGAACCCTGTTTCTGCTGTGAGCTAGGCGCAGTTTCTGAATGGGGGAGTCAGGGTCAGCAGAGAACTAAGGAAGTGTAGCAGCATTTGAATCAGCACTGCTGCTGTTGCTTCCTTGGAGTATGACTGAAGTTAAACTCCCTTTGCAGAAATCCTCCAAACAGTACAGGAAGTTTCCTATGTTGAGTCACACTCAACTATAACAAAATGATCGAGAAAAAAAGTCTTAACCTTAAATTTTGTTCTGTGGGCAACAACATTATGCTGCTTTTTCCACATATAGGACATATGGTGTGAGGTGGGTCTTTTAAATGCTGCTTAGGAAACTAAAGACAAAAGAACTCTCCACATATCTTGCAAAGATTAAAAGCTCTTTTTTTTCCCTTAAGTTTGTTGTTTGAGTTTTTAGAGGGAGGTGGGGCAGGTATTTCTCTGTGTTTTAATTGATGAGGAAAATTTGGAAAATTTTTATTAGATAAAACTTGTGTATATTTGTGTCAGTAACTTAGGTGTCTTTAATTTCAGAAAGAAGAAATTGCTTTGAATGAGGTGAGTGTGTTTGACATCCAACAAAACAGTAAAACATTTAATTTGTATCAAAGCACAAACAAATAACTTTTTTACTTTTAAAGACGTTTTATTGTAATGTGACCTGTTGTACCAAGATCTTATTAATTCTTCAGGCTGGCTCATGATCTACCTTCTGACCTGGTTTTGTTTGATATATCTTGTCAAATTGTCCCTTTTTGGTCTCAAATCTTCTGTACTTGGTACCTTTTGCAAGGTGAACACGTCTGAAAATTTTGAACAAAATTTGATACAAACAGACAGGAAAGTTTTTCTATATTTGGTAATTCTAATAATGCTTTTATTTTTACTGTGATGAGTCTTCAGAAAGACTTGAAGGAAGAATTTGAAACCTTTGCTAAGAAATGTCACTTCAGTATTATGAAGGAATTTGCTTTGTTTGACAAACATCACTTTTTGATACATGTTTTGCACAAAGGTTTTGATTAAACTGGTTTTTTAAATAGCACAACAGAGCATCTTACATGTGTTTCTTCCAGAACATTAAAAAATCTACTTTCAGAAATTAGAACAAATTCTAACCATGTGATGCAAATGTCCTGTTTTACATTTAGATGCTTTTCGTTGATTAGAATCCAGTAAAAACTCTGATTAGAAAGGAAAGACTTATGTTCAGTGTAATTGCCACAGTGGTCTGCCAGTCTTGGCTTGATTTCTGGTTGTACCAGAGCATCACAGAGCCTGCTGGGTAGCTAGAGTCTAATATGGGAATGGGAGCACATTACTCTATTTGTGAAATACAGGCTAGTGTTGGCTGCTAGAACTTAACTGCATTTGATAAGCTCAATCATGAACACCTCCCAGATTGAATTTAAACCATGGAGGTGTATGTCTATAGGTTGTTACAGGCTGGGGATTCTCTGGATTGCAGCTGAGTACCTGTGAAGTAACGGGGACGTGTGTGTATCCCTGAAACGTAAGAAAATGCCATGTCATCAAAGAGTTTCCACTGCACAGGGAAAAGTTATTTTTCCCATGTGCCTCTTGGTTTAATTTATAGCTGTCAGCTTTCAAAGGATCTAACTAACATCTACTTACGTCTTTCCATGCTAGGCAGTTGTTATGCTTCAGGCAGCTTTCAGAGGACATTTAGCTCGGCAGAAACTGTTACTGGATAACAGGATGCATGATGCAAAATCTCACCGCAAGGTAATTGTTGGGGTAAATGGGTATCCAGGCATCCCATTATGTTTAGTTTAAAGTACTGTATTTCCAGATTTAATTCTCTTGATCACCTGGTGATGTTTTAATGCACTAGTTGGCAACACCATTGTATTTCCAGAAAGATATCAAGCTTATTCCCTAACCTACATTTCCATCTTCTTTAGTTACCAGTTTTTCTTAAAGTAAAGCTATAACTTCTCTGCATTATGGACTAGTCTCCTCTTTTTTTCCTGGTTTTCCCATCAGCTGATAATGTACCCTTTGAGCCTTTAATGTGGAGTGCTATTGCAAACTGTACTTACTCTCAAGTGTTCTCTACTCAGTTATTGTAGTAATAGACAAACCTTTGTCACCGAAGTTCAGAAGTAAGAATTGGAAAGCATCTTTGATTAGATTGAAACGTAAAGTAGTCTTGCTTGTGGCATGCTCAACCATCCTCTGTCATGTCAAACTTGCTCCAGATTGCTCAGTTCTGAATATGAAAACATTTCCTTACCTATTAAACAGTTTCTGTAAACAATTTGCCAGCTTATGTGAACATCCTCTGGATCTTTAGCAGGCAAATGTTAATTTGTAGTTCTCAATCCAGGTTGTCTATCTGGTTGCATTTACATACCCTTTTATTTCAGTACACTGCCCAATGTAGTAGGACTGAATAATTTTGCTTGATACAAGGAGAAGATACATCCATCATGAAGGTTGCCCTACCTCCTTCAACTTCAAAAGGTTTCCTTCCTGGAAAATAAATGAACTTCCATTGCGGGTGTCTGCTTTTTCAGTAATTGAATACAGATGCTTCAAAGCCTGTGTGATGATCAGGTTTTCATTTCCTGCTGACTTAGTCTTATAGAACCTTAAAGACTGCAGACCAAAAGATGGGAATATTTCTTCTACTACCACTTTCACAATCGGGAGTAAGATTTTGAAAGCTTCTATCAAGCTTTTGTGCAATCCATAAAAGGTCAGTTTTCTTTAATGTCATTGCTTTGCAGAACTCCTGCGTGCCTTCCATGTCAAACTCCTTGAGCTTGTCTTCTGATTGCAAGGAGAAGGATGAGATTGTGACATTCATCCAGTCCATCTTCAGGGCTCACTTAGCACGTATGGTACTGCTTGAGGAGAGGTAAGGAATAGATGTTTCTGCAACATGCAGTAGCAAAAATTTTTTTAATTACAGGAGAGGGATCATTTTTGTTACAGAGTTTTAGTGTGGGTTTCTTGGCAGAGAAGAACAAGGCTATTGTTCCAACAAAGACATGGGAGAGGTTGCTCATGAGAAAATTCAAAGGGTATGCAGCTAAAAGGGTTTTTTGTTGCAGCAGTAATCTTCCTGTATCCTGTTGCATGTTCTCTTCCATAGCAATGAGCGAAAGTAAAGTAAAATAATTACTCTTTGGAAAAAACAACAACAACAAAAAATTAAATTACAATTGCTATCAAACTGATTCCTAGTACATTTGTTTAGTATAAGTGAATCAGAAACCTTGACATGTAAAATTTCTGTGGAAAGAAGAACAGGGAAGAGCTAGAATACCACCTTGCATACAGTCTAGTGACTTAGCTCAGGAGGAATGCAGTGATTTGCTTACTGCTTAGGTTTATGGTGACTCTCTCTTGAAAATACTTCCTTTCCCTCTGGGGCTTACTGCTCTGAAAGTTTTTAATATTGGCTGCCATGGTTACAAGGAGAGTTACGTAGCTGTCACCTCACTTTAGTGTCCAAGTTCAGTTCTGCAGGTGATAAGTTTTTGTCTCTTGGAGGCTAGCAGCACAAACTTTTCCACATATCCTCTGAAGACAGACTGCAATTACTGTTCCGTGCCTCATGCTATGCAGCATGTCTTTTTGCAGGCCTTCTGTGTCCAGGGCACCAAGTGAGAAAGCAGATTCTGCAGTTTACATTACAGAGAAGAAACCAGCCTCAGCAGCACTCCAGACACCTCCTTCAATCTTCATGTCATCTCTTCCTGGTAATCTCTTTTCACTCTGTGTTCAAAACTATGTGTGTTTTGAGTGGGTGCACACACAATTTTGTAGAGAACATCTGCACATGCACACACATATGCAAATGCATATTTGTACTCTACGTGTCATCTTTTAATTTGATGACATGTTGTGTTTATATTGGTGAGTGCAGTTCCTTACATAAAAAATAAAAGCTTTGACAGTATCAGTACCAGCTTCCTCACAGTGCTTTGCCTCTTTGCCACAACTGTGGTTTGGAAGGTCTCTCTCTGATGTGAGTGGTAATTATTCAAGAACATGGTGTTCCCCTGTGTTGCCTCTCTACTTCCTTTTAAGTCCCCCCAGCCCTGTAGCTGTAGTGTGGTACTTTCCACTACATTTTGGGCCCAAAGCCATAGACAAGTTGAGAATATTTTCACCATCCTGACTTAGTTTCTGAAGGGGACAGACATCTGGTAAAAAGAACTGTCCTAGTCAGCCACGTGTATTTAGTTATGTTTTTTCAGCAGTCTTCGGTTGCTGCAGTAAGTGGAAAAATGAAGTCCTGGATAACCTTGCCAACTATAGTACTACTAGAATACAAACTGGGAGAATGGCTTTTTTTATGGCTCTTATGCCATTTGGTTTTCTTCTTGACTTCTTCATTGCTGTTTGTGAGAAGTTGGAGTTAAAGCCAAAGAGGCTTTTAAGAGAATGTTAGAAGTACTGAGTAAGAAAGGCAAAACAATGATGCAGGTAAGATAGCCTTAGACATGCAGCTTCAAAGGAGTTAAAAACAAATTGAAAAAGGTAGGTTTGATCCAGAGTGGGATATTTTAGGCTTTTATGGACCAGTTGGAGGAAAAAGCAACTTTGAGGGTGACCTGAGAAACACTGACTTGCTTTTTGTCAGTGAAAAGCTGACAGTCCCTGCAGACTTGCTCAGAAACAGAGCTGTAAGCAGCTGAGGCTGTTTCTCAAAGATATGAGATGGGGAATAAGCCAGACTTGGAGGGGTTGTGAATACAGAGGTTACCCTTCAGTGAAGGAGTGATTAAGAAGCTTTACTGCATTTTGTATTCAGGAGTGTATTCTACTTTGTGAAGGAGTAGGTAGTACTTGCTTCTGAACATGTTAGAGTTTTGAGAGATTTTAGTTATGTCTAGTGACAGTATCCAGGAGAGAAATGCTGCAGCATCCTGTTTTGCCTGGGCTGTACTGCAGTAGTCATTATTGGTATGCTCAGTCTAAACCATGAGTAAATCAGTTGTGAAATTCTACCCAAAGAGAAAGAATCACTAAAAAAAAAAAAAAAAGCTTAGCGCTTCTTAGACCCAAAGAAGGGTGTAAGATGAAGCTAGTGTGGTAAATGCAATAGTATGAGTACTCATAGAGCACAGTCACTGTCTAGCTATGAAGTCTCCAAAGCTAACTTTTATTGCAGATAATGATGACAAAGTGATGGTGGTGAGCCGAAGTTCTGGAAGATTTTATACTGGAAGGGATAGAGAGGAAACCGTAAGAATTCAAACTTGCTACCTTGCAGTCCTTTTCTGGTTTAAAATGGAGAGACTGGGAGCAAAGCAGGTTATATTTGCTGCTGATCTTATGAATATGGGAGGTGTTTTCAAAATATGTGATGAGAATAGAACATACCTAGGTAGTTTGTGAAGAGGCATACTGGATACATGCTTCTGTAACTGCACAGCTGCCCAAAAGACTGTCTTGCACTGAAAACTATGCAAAGTATTAGTTCTTGGTGCATTGCAGGGTTTAACCAAATTCTCCAAAAAGGCAAATAGGGGGAAAAACCTGCTAAAGGAAGGAGAGCATTCTGGTTTAAATGCCACCCCTCTGAAGAAATGCGACCCCTCAGCAATCTATTCAGTTTAGCACATTTTTTGCCACTTGAATCCATGCAGTTTAAACAGGTTAAAGTTAACTAAAAGTCCAACATCTATCATTCGTAGCTCATGACTGATAAAAAAAATCCACTACCAAAATTGTTTTTTGATGTAATGTGTTTCACTGGTCATCCTGCAGTTTGGAAGTACATGAGACAAGAAGCTTGTTTAACAGCTGAGTGATTTAAAGCAATCAGATTCCTTTAGCTTTAAATCATGAAGCTGTTGGACAAGCTCTTGCTTCATTTTTCCCAAGTCCAGACTTGCATTTTGTGACCTCTAGGTCTTGCAATGATCTTAAACTTTCAGGAAAAGTATATGTTGCAGTAAGTCAATTTCATTAGCATTTTGGCATTATTTTGAGAGGAATGGGAAAGAATAAAATGTGTTTTAAAGAACCTTGTCTATCTGGTAGAACAAATTAATATAATCCTGGTCTAGCATTGCAGACTTTTAATTCCTTATTGACATAGGGTTAGATGTCTTTATTTTCTTATTAAAAAATAAGCAAAAGTAGTGTAGCCTTCAACGCTGCTTTGCTTCTCTTCATAATATGGACAACACTTGGAGATTTGTAAAGCCATTTCTGCTGTTTCCCATGAAATGGAACAGATAATAACAATTCCAATTGTGATACTTAGCATTTTGTTTCTATCTGTCGGGGGAGTGGCAGGAAGGAATAATATGTTCTGTACATGCACAGCGATCTTGAATAAGGGCAGCATTTCTCTCTGCGTATCACTAGTCACTCTGGATTGGACTTAATTTGAGGGTTTTTGAAATCATAATGAATTTGCATACAACCCTTAAGTCTAATCAGTGCTTACCCCTTCACAAGCACAAAGATAAAGTTGTCAATCTGAAGTATATTAAACTGAAGATGAGGACAAGAAAATCTCAGACATCAAGAGCAGGATATAATTAAGAGTGATTTGGACAATATTAAGCTATTTCATATACAATATCTGTTTATTGTTGGAGTTGCGTCTTCTAGTTATGACTGCTTTTGGAAATTCTCATTGTTCATCTTTGTCACGAGTACTACTGGCTCATAAATCTTCCCGAAAAAATGTTACATTATTTGTTGACTGATGCAGAGAAGAATTTAACTTAACTAGGGAGAGTCAATGTGTTTCTTTGCCTCTGTAGGTTGAGGTCAATCTAATGGCCTCTCTGCATTCCTCCTTTCCATTCACAGGCTCTGTCACTCTTTTTCTATTTCTGGGCTGGTTGTGGTCCCCTTTCTTTATTCCACATTCCAGTTGCTGCATACGCCTCCTCTCCCATACCAGGAGGGTTTTTTTTCTGTGTCAGGAACCTCTTCACAATGAGACCCATGGCATGTCTGTTCTTCTCCCCAAGTAATATTCTCTGTGTGCCCTCCATTTTCCCTTCTCTTTCAGCGTCAAAAGCTCAGTGTATGCCTTCTTACTTGTCTGTTATCTCTTTCTACCACAGGTCATCTTGATTTGTTTTCTTCTCTTGGAGACAGTATTTTCAAAGAATTGATACTTTAAACTGAAAAATAAGTGGAGCTGATGGGAGAATATTGGGCTAGGAGGTGTTAATAGCTGAGGGGAGGATATTGTGCTAGAAGGCGTTAATAGCTGTCATTTAGTTCACAGATCTCTTGTAGAGGGGATACAACCAGCTAGTTCTGCTCATCAGAGTGTAGGGGCCTTGTATCTATCCATTTCATTCCTCTGATTTTCCAGTATTTACTGGAATTATTAGGGTTCTTTCTGTTCATGCCCTGAACACTTCTTCAAATGTTGGAATCAATGAGATGCATAGAACCACACTCCCAGAAAAAGAGCAAAGAAGAAAAAAACCAACAACCAAACAACACAACCCAAACCAACAAAAGCCATGGTGTGGTCACCATTTTTATTGTCATTAAGTAAGGTAGTACAGCATGTGAATAATATTTTTTGTATTTTACAGATGCAAGGATGAAAGACTGAAAGTCACTGAGAGCTTCCATCATTCTTTTTTTTCCTCACTGATTTCATTTTCTCTATCTGGCTGAGGTTCTCATTATGACCTTTCTGCTTAGCTTAAGCTTGCTTGGGTCAATTTTTCCTTTTCTGGCCATCTAATAAATATTTATTTTTATGACCCAAGATGGCTTCAGTATCGAATCGCTTTACTTCGTGGTGTGTAACCACTTGCAAAGATTTAAAGACAATAAGACAAATCATGCATGGTCAGTATGTCAACTTAGCACTTGCTGTGCATGCTCTTTCATTAAAGAGCAACAGGAATAGTTATATGCAGAAAAAGATCAGAGTTATAACTGCAGGTAATTCTGGAAACTTAATGGCTCAGAGAATATTACGCTCCCCACAGGGGCTTTTTTTTTTTGTCAATGTTGTTTATTGATGACCTTGTTTCCTTTTGTAATTATTTCAGCCAGGTCCTCTGAGAAGCATTTGCAGCCTGCTCTCTCTCTGTCTGTGGATGAAGCTCACTCGGATGATTCAGATGATATTGTCATTGTCTCTCCACTGTTGCAGATGAAGAAAAACTACACCCGCTTTTAAGTTTTGGTAATAGGCTCTGGTGATCTTGAATTATTCCATTCATAAAACTATTTCTACCATGATAAAGCATATCAAAGATGAAAAAGGGGAGATATCAGCCCCTTTTTAATGACAGTTGTCACTGTTTCAACCATAAATGAGTAATTGTTTGTTATGTTATCTGCAGACTTTATGGCTAAAAGCCACTGTCTGACTGTTAACCTTATCCTCCTGGTACACAGAATAAGTTCGGATTTAAAAACTAAAATGAAACACTAATATTTTATCTCACAATGAGGATTATAAATTCAGTTGCCAAATTTAAATGAAAGCAATAAAGCCTTAAGCTATTTCATGTCAAACAAAGTTTTGTTTCAGGTCAACGAAAATAATTTGTTTAATCAGAAAGTGGTTAATGACATGACTGCAATTTTCAGCTTGTGTACGTGAAGGGGAACAGCTTGTATTTGTTGCCAAGTCCTTGCTATTTAAAAATTTTACCGTGTCATATTTTAATATCTTTTTTGTTTATATTGAACATTTACAGTCTGTGCAGACCTTGTAAAGGATTTTAGAAAGCCATATCTTTGTCATAGGGCTATTCTAGGCCTACTGTATCAGCAGGGTTTTCTTATTTATTGCTTTTTCCAAGTGTGCTTGCTATGATATGTGTAGTACTATTTTGTATTTGACATGTCCGATCACATAATCATTTTTTTATATTTGTCAGAGAAGGTGCATAATAGCAGGAGTGTTCTGTGGAGGATATCCTTGTGACTGCTTTTCCTGCTTATCTATCACAAATCTGAGTGGATTATGCAGGGTAATCTTTCATGTGAAAACATTTGACATAGGAAATAAGTTGCTTTATGTCCTGTTTTAGCTTACGTCACTTGACTGTCTGAAACTTTCACCTAAGTAGATTGCTTGTCCACCAAGCACTAAGGGGCTTTAAGTCTAATAATGTTGCTTTGCTCTTGTTGACCTCTCTTCTCAGTAGGTCCGGTCACAGCCTGGGAGAGGGATCACAATACACCTGTCTCCTGTCACCAGGTAAAGCTGCGAGGCTGGCTGCTGGAAAGCATGGGCACTCCCAGCTCTATTCTGAGGGATATGGATTGGGATGAGCATAATATACAGAACCTAACCCATGCAGTTTGGTTTAAGAACAGAAGCGGTAGGTTAGATTACAATAGAAATTAAGACTACGTTCAGAAATAACACTACTTGGCATAATGGTCTGTGGAGAATATGGTCAGAGGGGTCTTCCCAGATCTTTTACACAGACTGTACCCCTTCTTGACTGGAAGAAGGACCTTATAGTTCCCACTACCATGCCAACATCCTTCACAGGCATTACAATGCGTGTGGGTGTTTTTAAGGTGAACTAGATAAATTATATGATATCTACTGGAAGGAGAATTTAATTTTACAAACACACAGTGAAGTTTTTCTGAAGACCCTGATGGTTTCTTTGTCATCGAGGAGTAATAAAGACTCCTGTAAACAGAAAGCACACTTTTAAATGTAAGATTTTTATCGTCTTTTCCCTCTTCTTTTTTAAATTAAAAACCAGTCACCACTGTTTCACAGAATACTAATAAGTCAGAGCTGTCTCGGTTCTTTGATTTCATTGAAGCACTATCTGAGGCTTATCATAGTTGATGCCAGTACTTGCAGCCAAAGAGGAAACTGGATGGCTGTAGCGCAGTGCAGCTGATTTCATTTAATCCCATCGGTGGAAATGCTGCCTGTGCTATTTCCAAAGGCAGTTTTGGGAGCTCTCCATACCCAAAGCAGTCTGAAGAATGTCATTTACACTCCCGTTGGGTAAATTTTTCCTTCTGGTACTTTGGTCACATGACTGTCATCTGCAGAAAGGATAAAAAAATATATAAAATGAAAGAATAAAAGGGATAGAATCCTCTTGGCAGAAGCTGAGACCTGTTTCCCTCTTTTACTGAAAGTCATGTTATGAAAAAGTCATTTTCCTAAATAGAAGCAGAGCTATACTGAGTTGCTTATGTATAATATTTCAAGTCTGTAACTGTGACTCTGTCATGGATCCCTCCAGAGAGAGTAACTAGAGCTGAGGACTCTGACACATTAAGGGGAGAATATGTAGTGTGTCAGGACCAAGACTGATATAAAATACCTACCTAGCTGTTACGCTATAGGGAAATACTTGGACAGCAAATATAATGAAGATTACATTCTTTTACTGTGCTGTAGTCACCAATATAAAAGTATTAGGAAGTAGGTACTGAGCAGGAAGATCTGTATTTCAGTTGAGTGTATGACTAGCAGTAATGCTGTCAAAAGGCAAGTTCTGGGATAAAGCAGAGATAGTATCTTGGTATGACCCAGAAGCAGAGACAGAAATCAGGGTGCAAAGCAGCAGATGTTTTCTGGGTTGGATGAAAATGTGTCTAGAGCTTCCTAAATTTTAGTTGGCTATCTCCTAGCTATCAAAAATCTGATACTTAACTTGAGCCAGGCTTCAAACTTGTGTCTTAGTTTGGAAGATAACTATATGCTCACTGCACATCAAGAGTTTGATGTGGTACAGTAGAAAGAAAAACCTCCATAGTATCAGCAGGCTTTAATGTTGTTTTGTTATGTACTGTAATAGAATGTGTTGAAAGGAGTAGTAATTGACATTAGGTTTCATTCTGTGGTTATCTGTCTGAATGCCAGTACCTGTAAATCTGGGAAGAAGTGTGGGACACTGAAAGATGAAAAAGTTAATTTTGGAATAAACAGTGTTTCTCCTTAATAGGGAGCTGAGGGCAGTAAAAATCGGTGTGTTTCAAACCTGTCAAGATAGGCCCAATACAAACATTCAGTTTCTGAAAAGTATGTCTTCTGTAGAAAGCACTGGTAACCTTGTGGGGGCGTCAAGGTCTTGAATTAAAATTAAATTCTGCTGTAACCTACATAATCTAACAGCACACTTTCCATTCTACTGCTATGGGATAATGTTGCCTACTTAAAACCTTTTGCAGTTTACAGTAGTGTTTAGTTAGAGATCGTGTGTGAATAGAGATCTGACTTTCATAGGATGTTATTTCTCTTGATCTTGTTTTGCCCTTAAGTGCCTATGCCTGTAAATCTTTACTTGAGGCATCGAGACCTGAAAACTGCATTGTTGTCTGCATAGCTATAAAAATAATCCCTGCACAGGCAACTTTTAATAGAGTCGAAATGGGAAAGGATTAATCTTGGCATATGAGAGCACCATTAATTTTTATGATCTCTTTAATATTTAGAACTGTGCAAGTCTCTTACGTAATTTATTTTGGGATCTTTCAAAAGCCAAAAAAATTGCCATGTATTTTCTCCTATTGTTGAACTTTCAAATAAAATTGTTTATAAAATAATTGTGCATTTCTGCTGCAGTTGCTGCATTTGTGTTGCTCCCCGGCTGCACGCTCCTGTTGTTTTCACTTTCCACCTAGGTTGACCTTTTAGGTCTGACTGTTTTTGTGAGTTAATAGTAACAAGATAACCCTTAAACAGGTAGGGTATGAAATTTCTTCTTTAGTACACATTCCAGATTGTCCCATTGGGAATGCACGGTGTTCTTGACCAAAGCCTGGGTGGAAGTGAAAGAGGTGATGGGCTTTTGCTTTCAGTCTTGCCTTCTGGTGTTTTATTCAGAAAATAAATCCTGTCAGGTAGTTCTAGAAGTAAAACACGTACCATTACCTCAAACATAGCTGGTTTTATGTGGAGTATGGCGATTTTCATTCATCTTTTCATCTGTTGTGCTGCTTTCTTGCTGGTTGCAACGGTCACACTGACCACTTGCCAAACCAGTGGAATTCAGATAAGAGATTCAAAAGAAATCTTTGTCGTGACTTCAAAATAATTTACCAGAGAAGAAAAAGATGCTTAAATACATGATTGATGCATATCTCCAGAAACGTGTTGTAGGAGGGATGCCGAGTGGATAACTCAGTCGGGCTGCAGAGCTCTCCCTGGGCGGGGGCTCAGTAGTGCTGTGGGCATGCAGAGGGACGGCTGGAACCGGGCTGCTCTCAGCTGCGGGGCAACGGGAGTCTACAGGCTTCCGCAGACACTCCTGCTTACTTAGTGTATCCCCTTACCTCGGTTATCGTTGCTGTTCATGCAGCTCTGGTGGAAGGAACTAGGGTGTATGCATTCCTTTCCAGGTCCACTGCAAAAGCCTTTCAGGACTCCCAGGAAAAGCAAGCCTCATGCTGCTTTATGGGGATAGAAGACCCTGCTAACTGCTGTGAAGATGTGGGAATCCTGTAGTCATCTTCCTACTGAGCACGGTCTTGTTGTAGGACTAAACCAGCTACAAGAGTGTAATCTGTGTTTGATTAATGTATTATCTTAATTTCACTTTTTTGTTCTTTCCTCCCTGCTCCACTGACATATGTTCTGGATTTCTTAGCAGAAACTTCAGTTTTAAATCTTAAACACTGGAGGTAAGCCATGTGGCATGAATGGAAAAGTTTTGATACAATTTCTTGGAGCAGACTAGTCTTGAATTCAGTTGAAAGCAATTAAGTGTTCACACTAGTTTTATTAAACCATACTTTGGCTTCATCTGAAGTCAGAATACCTTGACTCTTGCAAGCTTTGCAGCATCTGTTTATGGTAGGTTTGTCAGCTAAATAATTTCTCCATATGAATTTCTAAGGGTAAAAAAAAGTTTCATTCGGTGGGCATCATTAACACCTGCAAAAAGCAAAATATCCATGTTAGACTCTAGCTTATTAGGGGAGAATTTTCAGGTGTGGTTGGTGGTCTGGTGCTGCATTAGTTCCTCTGACGTTTCTTTCTAACGTTGTAGTTCTTTGCCTGGTAGAGACAGCATTGACATCAATTTCTGAGTGTTTGCCCTATTTTCAGATGTGTATAAGGCACATTGGCTCTTGCTTATATGTGGCCTTTAGCACTTGTTCTGTCCTCGCTGTGCTCAGAGGAACAGCCTTGAACAGCAAGTGTCACTGTGTTCTTATTAACTACACTGTTGTAGTCTGCTGATCAAATTGTACCCTGCTCCTCTTGCCCCTTCCATGACCTGGCTGTCCTAATTGCCTTTTTCAAATTGGAGAGAGTCTGTATTCTTATGGGTTTCTAGGATAGTGTTTGTGCTGTTGCCCTCACTGGAGCTGTATATAAACAAAACTACTCTCAACATGTTGCTCAGGCTGTCACAGCTCCCTCTCTATTTGGCAGGGTTTATGCCAGCATGCCACAAAGACACTGCTCTGGGTACCACATAAGCCCCTTTAGAGCTTCTATTCTGGGTAGCACAAACAGATGTGTCATAAAATCTTGATGCTCAAAATGATCTGGGAAGAACCAGGAGGGACATCATGCCTGTTGTAACAGGCTGTCTTACCTCCCTCACTATCAGCCATCCACACCCGGATCTCGTTCCTCTGCCCCTCCTCAGTCTGTCAGCTCTGCAGAGATGATGCTCTGCTTCAGTAATGTAACGGAGCCTGAAAGTCTGCCCTGTAATATGAATTTAGAAATTAAATACTATGAAGTCTGTCATTTGATTACAGTGCTGCTGTAAAAAAGGGCTATGTTTGAATGGCCTCTACTTATATGTGTGAAAATGAGAATAGCTTTTAATAAACAGGATTGACTATTAATGCCTGTAGTACAAGTTATAATGTTCTGCACAAACATTGCTTAGCATTGTCATTATCTAGCAATAATCCTTATTTGTATTTTACACAAATTGTGGCAGAACCTTCTGTTTACCTAACCTGGAAATTTTTCCTGAACAGGCTGTCTATAATTTACACACAGAATTGGCAGTTTTCTTCCTCCTCTTGGCAGGTATTTAATAGTCATGTATTGCATTTCTGTGCTAGTAAACCTTCGTTGTTACACAAAACGTACTAGAATGTTATGAAGAAATATCTTAAATAATTAAACAGAAATGGAGTGACAAAACAAACGAACAAAGTGCAATTTGAGCTGTGTTATTCTTTCCTTTTTATATTCATTTATTTGCTAATTTGCTGAACTTACTGAACTGCAATGGGTCTTGCTGTGATTAGAGAGAATTTGCCAAGTTCCTTTGTAATTGTTTCTTTGCAATTAACTAAATAATAGAATGTTCTGTGTGTTGCTCTCTGGGGAAAGGAAAGGAGCGGGCAGGTGCTTTTGCAATAGGATTTCCACATCTTACGCCCATTTCCCTGGAACTCACCAAGCATAAAAGGATGGGTAGAACACGAGAGAAAGAATTGCACCTCAGGACTGGAAATGACAACATTAACTTTTTCTTATGATTTCTTTGAGTTTGTTTAAAGACTTTTTTATGCTGGTCCTGGTTGTGGCTATTCTTTAAACCCAAAAATCCCTAGGAGGACTTCAGAGGAAAGCAATGAAGACCCAAATGTATGTTCCTTTTGCAGCTGCCTCTGCTCAGGGGAAATCCTTCAAGATGGGAGGAGAAATCAACTGGGAAGATCCCTGGGAACGTGGTTTTGCTGGGAAGAGCAGAGACTGGGGACTGAGCTGTTGTAGAGGGGTCAGTGAAGACTGGGGGAAGCTAGAGAATAGCCCTGGCTTTGTTACTTCCTTTGATTTTCAGCAGAAAAATACAGAGGAAGCCCTGGGAAAAAGGGAAGGGTAATCTTAATCGAAGCACAATCTAGCTCAGCAGGAGGGAGGCATGGCTTGATGTTAAGGGCAGAGTATATGGAGCAGCAGAGGTGAACTGGGCAGAGGTGTTGTCTAACAGTGGCAGCTGAGTGCCGAGGGATGGTTGTCTCGCTGACCTTCCTCTGACTGTCTGTAATTTAGTCCCTAATCTCAAGAGGGTAACTCATCCATCTGCTGGCACTTGGAGTTCAAACTCGCTTTTTTTTTTTTTTTTTTGAATCTGTACTGTTGGCTAAAACCTTTCATAACTCATATTAGGTCTGACAGTCAGGGGAAGACTCCTTGCTTCATGGTATATTAAAAGCTGGATTATTTCATTTCATAGTGAATAAAAAAAGTCAGGGGTATGGATGGGATTGCTGTTCTAAAAGGTGCTCTCATGGCAAATATCACATCAGCAGTAGGGATCTCTGGAGTGAGAGAGAAGCTTGTGAAGAGAAAAATGGTACATTTCTAGGAGTGCTTTTGCAATCTGCCTCAGGGGGACAGGGGACAGCACTGGCTGCCTTATTTTGGATGTTTTAACTAGTCTTTCTATCTTCATTGTCTTTAATTTGGGACATTTCTCATTGCCTATTTTGACCAGTGATTCTTTAGCAAAGTCACTGTCAAGCAAGTTAGCTCAAGCTAATGCGGTTCCTAGTGTTAATTTTCAGCAGGATTACCAGCTAACAAGCTGACATTTGCAGTTTGCTTTGGTTGATTGTAGAACTGCTTTCCATGCAAGGGTGATTTACTCCTAGTTTTTATTCCTGGGATGTCACAGCAGTGGCTTGTTTGTTCATTTTGCTTTGGCAAAACTGAGTGTACCTATTTGTGTGGGGAGGGAGAAAGGCTGCTATTATCTAAACATGAGAGCCTTGATAACTGTCTTGTTGTTATGTAATCAAGAATTACCTGAATAGGATCAAATGAGAGATGCTAGACATCTAAGAAATGCAGACGCTGCTTTGTGACATAGTACAACAGGCTGAAATACCCTGCCATGGAAAGTACAGCTAGTGCTAGATTCTGTGGTTTGTCTCTTATTCCTAGTTTGCTGAGTGTATTTTACTCTTCATTTTTATATTTTCCGATATCATTATAAATAATTGTGGTGGAGAAACTAAAACTGTTGATGCCTCTGTTTCTCTATAACCCCAAATCCTCATTCTACTATAATTTAATACAGTTGTCTCTGTAGCAAATGGTTGAGAGGCAGGCACACCAGCACTGCTGAGCCTGCTCCCTTTCCCACTCACACCCCCCCCCCCCCCCC